GGCAGCATGATTCACCTGGTTGCCAGCTGCTTGTACTCTGATAACATACCTATATTAAAAGAAAGGTTGCCAAATGTCATTTTACAACCACAGCAACTATTTTGTAGATCTGTGAAGAAATTTCTCATTTTCTGTGTCAAATCTATGAGCTTTGCTGAGTTATCACAGTCAATTGTTGCATCGCATTGCAATTGCCAACTTGTCCCCATTGCCACTTTATCAACATTTTAACACAAAGCGACTGACCGCGAGTTGACACAAACCTGTTTCCGGTCTTTGAAGCAACCATTTCAGTGAGACCACAAGTTCATTGCACGCGGTCGAAATAATGTTGACTGTCCAGCCTCTGTTTTTTCTAACAGTTGGAGACTTTTCACATTCTTTGTCTGTGGTCTGAACAAAACTGCAGAAATCAAAACTATAGGTTTCAGGTCAAACCTGAAACAACAGTTAGCGATAACAGGTATCAAGATACTGGTTATTAACTTGCTTTGTTCATCGAGGCTTTTTGCCTCAAGCCGTGGGGCACTGTCATATGGTTGTATCCGTCATTATGGAATTGTTTGCCGCCAATTAAAACTTGGGGATCCGGGAACGAACAAAAAGGGGCCCAAGGAACCGAAGGTAAAACCGGCAAAAGAAACCCAAACCATGAGTACCTGGACGATGATTTAGCACTGGAGGCTATTCAGGTAGCATTCTTTAAGGAAGCACAAACATACTTAATGTTCTAGTCTTCAAATCCCTTTAAGCGTTGCTTTAAGAAAATGTTCTTTCAGAAGAAAACTGTCCTTTTTCTATAATTTTAACACGTGAACACAACAGGGACTGAAAACCTGCTTAGAGTCAGTAAAGCATCAGAAGCTTTTATGGCCCTGAAAGCACAATGCAACCATCTTCCCTTGTAATGCATCTTTAACCAAATCCCATGCTTTCAGGAAATCCCTAAATGATGGCGCAGTGTTTGCTACATCTGCACTGTCTTCATTGCTTTCCAGCCACCCTCCTGTTAGCTCACTATCCTTGCAGCAGTAATAAGCTCAGCATTTCTGAGGGCTTCTCTAAACAAATCAGACTTCCCCCTGGGATCAAGGAAGAAGTGAAGCTCTATCTGTGAAACAATTGAGTTGGACAGTAAGGTGGCCTGAAGAACCTCTCCCAGCATGACTACAGAACTAGTCATTTTCTACTAGTGTTCTGCATGAACCACCTTCACTTTACATTTGTCTTACTGCATCCTCTTTTAGGAATAACTGGTGGGGGGAGTTCATTGGTACCAAAATATTACCCAGTTGTCAGAGCTGGATCATCACTTGGCCAAAGCATGCAACCGCCTTAACGTCCCTAAAGCTGAAGGTTTACTAGATATCAGCTGGGTCTGCATAAGTGGATTGATCACAAATCCAGAAGTAAGAAAATCTCACCTTTAAATCCGTTATTAATCTGGTGTCAGTCTGCTTATCATATGAATCTTTTAATTCATCTGTATCTTTACTTCATTGGTTTTCTGCTCTAACAATGTCAACTTTTATGACAAGAAGGGGAAAGCAGAACATTATGAGGCCATTAGCCCCTTGCTCTGAGTCAGGGTAGTCTACAGATTTTGATCTGAAATGGTTAAAGACACATATAATCTTTAATAGTGTGTTCCCGTTTTACAACACAGTCACTTTTGTAAGCAGTTATTCTGACATTATTGAAGCATGTGCACTAAGTTAACATGAACTGTATTTTGCCATGTGTTGTAACTGTGATATAACGAAATTCCATTAGCCTAATCTGAGGTCGACTGTTAAAGCCCGTTGACTGATTCTGATGGGGGATAGTGGTTTATAGAGCAAATCCAAATTTCTAGAAATTTTAAATGCCATGTCCTACAGAACATATAGTATGCCATCACAGAGCCTGTGCAGATTTATTTAAATTATAGGACAAAAGCCAAAAAAACAAAAGACACAGGTCCAGAATTTAGAAGTGGGATTCTGAAGGCTGATGGTCCAGAGATTAGCCACTATCCATCTTTTTTTAATTAAGGACTTGAAATGTTTGAGATCAAGTGGGTTTGTTTGCCTGAGCCAAATGACCACGGACGGCACAAATAACACAATTTCATAATCAGGGCTGAAACAATTCATTCGCTCCTCACAGCGATGTTGGCAGGCAATCAGTCAAGCCTCGTATTACACTTATTAAATCTTATCTGTGTGCACATTCATTAAACCTTTCGCATTCTGTGCTGTTTCTCTTCTATGGTTCTGAAAAGAACCACATATGTATAAAAACCTAAAAATCTCATTTGCATGATTAAGAAAATTGTGTTATTTGTATGCAGTCTTCAATTAGGCATGTGAACAGATACAGGCTGGCAAATTTCTTTGACAAAGGAATAAAGAAGAAAAGCCAGCAGCGTCGCAGAGCAACAGAAATGCTGACGGAAACTGACAGCATCTAGAGATGCATAATGCACT